TTCATTATAGAATTTTAAAAATAAATTTTCTAAATTTATTAAGTAACAAAATATTTATATATATAAACTTACTTGAAATTAAATCTTAAATAATTAAGTCTTATTAATTATATAATTTATAAAATTTATAAAAAATAACTTTTGGAATATCCTTTTTTAAAATATACCAACTTACATAAATTATTTTAAAATATAAGTAATAAAATAAGTAAATAATTAATAAAATTATAAGTAAAATAATTATTTTCATTAATAAAAAAGATATAAGAAAATATAAAAAGAATATTATTTGAAATAGTAATACAATAGTAGCAGTTTTTAACTTTTATATTATATTATAGTATTTATAATATATTAAAATTATTGTGTATATTGTAATATATATAGGATCTTATTTTATACAAAATCTTCTATTAATTATACAAAAATACGAAAATATTAAAACATTTTATCTTTTTGAAATGATAAAATAGAAACACTCGTTTGAAATTAAATATCTTTATTTTCTTTGCATGAAATATATTAATTTATATAAATTAGTTATAAATATGAGTAAATTATATTGTATATAATATACAATTAAAAACATAAAAGATATATTAATTATTAATTATTTAATATCTATAATTAATTTTAATATCAAATAATAATTATATTATAATATTTAAAATTAATTTTTTTTCTTAGAAATCAAAGTAATAATCAAAATATAATACATATTTTAAAATATTTTAATATAATAATTTTAAAAAAAAACATTAAAATAATTTTAATTTTTTTTTACTTATAGATGTTTTTTTTTATTTCATTTTGCTGCACATACACAAACAATATTTTTGTTTTTTTTAGTCTTTGTTTAAGTTTTAGAAATAGAGTTTTTCATTAAACTTATAATAGAAGATATATCTCATAATTCCATAATCTCATTATAGTTTTTGAATTTATTAAAATTTTTTTATTTATTTTAAGGAATATTTGTTCTATTTTTTTTTTTACGTCTTTTATAATATATTATCATGATCAAGCAAAAATTATATTCAATAATAAAGTTTTAAATCATAAATCAAATTCAGAAATTATTTATATATATTTAATAATATTATAATAATTTAAAATTTCACATATAAAAAAATATTTATTTCATCATTTCGTTCTTTTCATTGTCTAAATTTGATATTTTTTATGAGATTTTATTATATTTTGTATTATTAAAAAAAATACGAGCCGTTAGAAATAAACCAATGATCGATATTCATGCATTAAAAACTGTATATATATATATATATATATATATATATTGATTTATTAATATTTTTAATTATTTTTTCCTTTTGTATTTTTTTGTCCATACATTAGAAACTACTATCTTAATGATTGTTACATATTATAATTAATGTATATCAAATAATATAATATTAATAATAAATAATATAATATTATAATAATGTAATCAAATAGAATTTTGTATTATAATTTTAAAACGAAAAATTTCTTTAAAGTTTTACGTATATTATTTGAATGAATATAAAACAAATATCTACAGTATTTTTTATTAAAATCTGATAATGTTTGAGAATTGAGACAACGTTTAGAGAATTATTTTGAGAACGAAAAAAATAAAAAATACAAAAAAATTGCATTTGAAAAATCTAAGGTAAATATAAAAATAAAAAGTTAAATATTTTATGATTTCTTTTTCACTTTGATATCTTGTTTCGATCACAAATTATACCTGCTTCCACAAATATTCCACAAAATACCTTTAAGTTTCTTTCATAATTATCTTTCGAATCTGATCGAAAAATTAGCATAAGAATTGATTAATTATTCTTAATAGTTATTATTGTGTATCTTCTTTTTATTTTTTTGGCGCAAAAAGAAAATATTTTATTGGTACAAAAAGAAATGTTTAATTTATTAGTATAATTTATTAGTATATTATATTGATATTTATGTTGCAAAATTTTATACAGTGTATATTCTTCATTATAAAAACATTATAAAAACATTTTATATAACATTTTATATATAAAATCATTATAAATAATAATCATTAAATATATATATTATATTATCTATATTTATATTATCTTATAATGTATATATTATATATATTATCTTATAATTATATTTGTTAAGATTGTTAAATATTTAAACAGTTAAAAATTCTGTTTGATTATGCAATACATTTTATTAATAACTTTACATTAAATATAAAGGAAACGATTTCTGTTTAAGAAAAACCACAGTTTGAAGACAGTAAATGATGTAGTATAATCAAAATTAGAAATCAAATTTCGATATTTATTATTTGAAAAACATTATTTATTTATTAAAAAAATCCAGAGTTATTTTACTTTTTATTTTTATTTTTTTTTTAATTTCTTTATAATGAATTATTACATTATGAAATTTATTATTACATAATATTCTTAATTATTATATATTTTTATTAGACAATATTAATAATTTCATAAATACTTTATTTGTAAATGTAAGTTATATGTATGTATGATTATAATTTCAAATATTTTTTTGCAATAAAACAATGATTGTTATCGTTGTCTTATATAGAATTATCACAAACATTAAAACTATATATGAATAATAACTACATAAATTATTATTTTTTCTTAATAAAATAAAATTTTAATTAATTTCCTAACTTTTATTTTAAAATTTTATAATTTTATTTAATAAGTAAATATTTTATGTCGTTTCAAAATTTTAAAATAATATTGTTATTTCGAAAGAATGTATATGTTTATTTATAAATATGTTATGTTATGTTATGTATAATATAATTATTATAATATTTATAATATATATAAATATGTTTATTTGAAATATTAAACATATTCTACAGAAAGTAAAACCATTTTTAATAATGGAAATTAAAAACGATTATCTCCCTTAACGATAAACTATAAGAATGCTATTTGCA